GGTGGGTCCTGGCGCAGTATCCCTCCCTATTGCGTGGGTGGGGGGGAGTGGCTTTCTTTGAGGAGGGGGTGAACAATATCACACCCCCGCCCCCAACTACACCCCCCCTGCGGGGTTGTGGGTCATTGGGGGGGTTGTGTCGGCTGAGGGGCCCGTGGGTCTTTTTGGCCTCCCCAAGGGGCGCCCCCCCCGAGACACACACTCCTCGCTTTGCCAAAGAGGGCAACTACTTACGGGGCGAAGCTGGGCGGGGTCCTTTCCGGGGGGGGCGGATTCTAGGGCCACTTTGTATAATGGGCGCCCTATGGGGAGGTCTGGGGCGGGGGGATGGAGAGGCAGCCCTCAACAGCTGCCTAATGGGCCAGCGGGAGGAACCCTCGCCTTTTGGAGACTCCCCCCCCCCCCGGGGTTGGGGCTCCCTCCTTTGTATAACAGGGAGAAACGTCTTTCTGGGAAGGGTGAGAGGGTGGAGGGACTTGGGGGGTTGTCTCGGGGTTGAGATCCAGGGGAACTTGCTCTAGAAGACCAGAAAGCATTCAAGCTTTTATGAGCAGGTGTGGGGTCTCCTTCAGGTTCTGGGGTCCCCAGCTAGGGGGGGTCATTCGTTGAGCCTGTGGGGAGGGTGCAGAAAAGCTGAAGGGATCCCGGTGGTGGGACAGCAACACACAACCCACCCTATAACACTGCCTCCCCCCACAGTGACATGGCCCCTCTCTAACCCCTTGTGGCTTTTTCTCTGAACCTAGGCGGACTTCCTGAAAGGGTTGCCGGTTTACAACAAAACCAACTTCAGCCGGTTTCACGCGGACTCCGTCTGTAAAGCGTCGGTGAGTGAACTTCCCCTGTTTTTAACCTGTTCAGTGTAAATCCTACACAAAGCGGCCCCGAATCCTTGAGGCCACGCTGCGCTGCTCTTTCAATAGGTTCACACACACAAATACAAAAGTCCCATTAAGGGTCTGTAAACAACACACACCTTATGTGTTCTTTCTGGCAGCAAAATAATATTTAAGGATAGCACTGGTGCGATAAGTAGCTCGTCAGGCCAGGGTTTTGTTCGGAACGAGAAAGACACGCAGACCCAATCCCTCATATTGGAAAAAGTCCATGTAGTGGAAGCATGCGGAAAATATAATAAGGGTTCTCCTCCACCCCCCAGTGCCATCCGCAAGAATTAGGCTCCGTAAACAAAGTGAACTAACCTCCCCTTATACTCAGATTGTGAGCAGCTGCCTTGATCCGTTTAGGGAATTAAAAATAATTACAACCCAAGATGTGTTTATAACCCAAATATCAGGGAAAGGGAACGGATGGGCTTCCCACATGTGGTGGTTTTATTCTGAAAGGGTTGGGGGGAGAAGTTTTATTTTTAATGAGGGAGAAATAGAGATGTTACCAAATATAGATACCCTGGTTTTGTGTCGCCCTTCTTTAAACCTTTTATTTTTCTCAATTAATTTGTGAAAAGGACGGAGAAATTCGTTTACTATCTGTAAGAGTGGGTGATGTCTTTTATGGGACTGCATGCCTTTTTACTCGCCGTTCTGTGTCACATTAGGGCAAACCCTGCAATTCCTAGAGGATGATGATGTTATTTACACATTGTACTGCTCCCCGATACCAGCCATGGCTCCCAGATGATGGGATCCACTTCCCTTACTGTTCTGGTTGTTTTCCAGTCCCGCTTTTTGTTTTCTCTTGTTTTTAGGAAGAGTTTTTGAAGAGAGATCTGCTTAGGATACCAACCTTTCACAATGATTTTATCCATTCACTGATTTGTCATTTTTGTCACACTTGTGTTTGGTTTTAACAACGCTACGCTTGACTCAACATGCTGGTTTTAGGATGTTTTAAGAGGACGGTAAAGGTATGGGTGGGAAAGCTGGACAGTTAAGAAAGCCGACAGGGGGGGAAATGGATTCATTTAAAATGTGGGGCTGGAGGAGAGCTTTGAAATTACCCTGGGCTGCCAGAAAGACAGACAAGTGGGTCCTGGATCAGATTGAGGGTGAACTCTCTCTGGAGGCAAAAATGTTGACACTGAGGTTGTCGTACTTTGGGCACTTCATAAGAAGGCTAGATTCTCTGGAAAAGGCCATCATGCTGGGAAAGGTGGAAGGCAGCAGGAAAAGAGGAAGGCCAAAATACAAGATGGATTAGCTCCCTCAAGGAAGCCACAGACTTTTGAGTCTGCAGGAGCTGATCAGGGCTGTTGAGGACGGGGCCTTTTGGAGGTGGCTCGTTCATAGGGTGGCCATGAGTCGGAGGCAACTAGATGGCTGGGACAGTGCAAAATGCAACAAGGGATAGTGCTAGAAGATGAGACTCTCAGGGCAGGGAAAAGCAATATACATTTTGGAGAACGCTCATTCATGGGGTCACCAGGAGGCAGAGGTGACTAGATGGCACATAAAAACAGAGCCTCCTTGGCAGAGGAACAGTAGGGTACAAATATAACAAATATTGTTACTACTACTTATTGCAGCCATAATATGAGGTTTAAGCCTGTTTAGCTGAAATTGTTATGGATTGGTGTGATGTAGTGGAGGGACGGGGCAGGCTTTGGCTGCCTTAGTAATGTTATGGTATTTATTTATATTTATTATATACAGTATTTATTAACTGCTCTGTGGTGCTTCAGACACGAACAAAGGAAGAACGAGTGGCTGACTAGGATCTGGGTTCGAATCTAGGCTCAGCCGGTAAAACTCCAGGCTGGGGTAGGGCGCACATGCCACTGGGAAAAGGACTTTTAAAATATCTGGCACACCTTGAAAATCCTCTTAAGAGTCACCGTAGATGGGAGGCAACTTGAGGGCCCGCAACAGCTGGAATTTCGCTCTCTGGATGAAGCAGGTGTTGGCTGTTATTAACAGAGAATATATTTTAAATAAATGAGTGAAGGGTACTGTATGGCCATGGAGAATCTACACCCCTGCAAGGCAGTCCAGAGCTCTTGCCATTAGGGAACTCTTCCTAATGCTGAATTAAATACTCCTCTCCTGTAATTTAAATACAATAGATTCACTGCCACCACAACTTTACTTATTCAGTTCATCCGATTCCTTCAACGTTGGTTAAACTGGATGTTCATCTTTTTCTCGCACACGGACACCAGAAATCTCACTGGTCTATGTTTTTGAAATTTGCAGAACAGAAGGCCCTCCGTCTATCTGCCTACGCAGGAATATCCGTCGGAACAAAGTAAGTCTTCTTCTCTGGTGTGACTCCCGACGCTTGTTGAAGCTGTTGCCTGAATCCCCCAACTCTTAAGGCGTTAACCACCTTTGGGAGCGTCTAGCGGCTTTATAGATTTGATTTGTATGTTGGTTTTTCTGCAATATGGCTTGCTGGATTAAAACAGTGGCTCTCCAGGGTAGCCAGTGGGATTCTCCGACGGGCTGCTGGTGGTTGAACCTTCTCTCTGCAAAGCATAGATGGCTTGGGTTGGACAGGTGGGGTGGGGATGGGGGTGTCCATGGGTCCAGCCTGCAGCTGACACGGGAGACCCCATCCCTGAAGACTCCTTGGCATGCGGCCCTCGGACACTCCCAAGATGGGAGAATCCGCCTCCCTGCCAGGCGGTCCATCCTGTTGTTGAACGGCTCTTGCTCTGAACAAAGCCAAGTAGATTACACCTACCGCTCCCCTTGATTGGGTCACCGTTCTCGCGTCGACGCCTCCGAGCATCGTCTTAGCCTTTTTTGCTGCCGCATCCCCCTGTTGGCTCATGTTGAGCTTGTGGCCTCCTAAGACTTTCCACGGGCACGGCTATTGTCAGGCTGCCTTTTTCCAGCCTGTGTTTGTGTCTCTGGTTTCTCTTGCCTAAATGTAGAAACTGTCACCTTTCCCAGCCAGTGCTCATTTTGTCTGGTTTTGGCACAGATGATAGAAGTGCTGGGTGTGTGTGTGTGACTGTGGCAAATAAAAGTGAATTAGGGCCAGTCTCTCCCTGAGATTTTGGTTGGGTGGCTGATAAATCTTCTGCGAGGTAGAATAAATGGCAGGATTTATTTCGAAGCAGTTTTCAGAAACTGGAGGCTTCCAGAGTGGCTGCCAAGAACTGAACCTGCGCCCTCTTGCATGGACTACGTGGGCTCTGCTCCCGTGTCTTGTAAGCTCCTTGCACGGAGCAGGCGTGGCTGGGTGTCGGGAGCTTTGAGGCACCTGGAAGATTCCTTGCAAGTAAAATTTATTTTACCAAGCCGCCTTTGGGTCCTTTTTATATTATTTTATGGAGAGAAGCGGGGCAAAAATATTCTTTTAAATAAATAAATAATAAATATACCTGCTTTGTCAGAGTCACGACAAACCCATGCTAAAGTAAATCTGTTGGGTCGTAAAGGTTGCTGCCAAGTTCTCCTTTCTCTTATACTGGTTACACTGAAATAGAGGATCCCAGCAACGCCTTCGGAAAATGGTTGCATCGATTCCGGTGGAAGAGTGTATCTTTGTATCCAGTCTGCTCAATATTTATTAATTTATTCAAAATATTTTGACCTTTCTCCTTAAATCGAATCAAATGTGTCAACCTTTCTCCTTTATTTATCAAAATGTTTCGGCCTTCCTCCTTTAAAAAAGACCCGTATGGTTAAATGATTACATTCTGTTGAAAATGGTAAATAAAAGCTCTGCTAAAAAGATATTGAAATGCAACCTTGGCGTTTAAATACAGAGAGAGAGAGAGAGAGAGAGAGAGAAATATCTGCGTTTCTTCCCCGAGCCTTCAGCTAGATCTTGCGTGTGGGTCTGACGGATTTTCCTCTCTTCTTTTTCCCCAACAGTCATTGTTACAGAAAAGACAAATATACTCTTGCGCTACCTACATCAACAGTGGGACAAAAAGGTATGGGTTTTATGCACATTCGCATCCTGCCTGTGCAGACGGCTTTAAACCAATGGGCGATAATAATAAAAAATCTGAGAATGACAGAACTCTGAGGGACACGATAGACCCTCCCGTCCAGGAAGCCCTGTGGGGGATTCGAACTCCCAGCCTCTGGCTCCACAGCCAGATGCCTCAGTCGCCAAGCTCTCCTGCAGTTCTGTGGCTAAAAACATTATTTGTTAACATTTTAAATTTCAAATTGTTGGGACCCAGCTTTGCTTGGGGTGGGCTTCCTCCCTGGAAGCAAAGTCAGGGGCATTTTTTTTTGGTGGTACCTTGTGGCTATATCCACTCATGGAAAAGGCATCTGCAGCTAACCTCGAGGCAGAATCCGGAGCCGGAGTCCCAAAGGCAGTTCCTGTCGTTCTGCCAACTCCTGCGACGTTGCTGGAACCAGTTGTATTGGTTCTTGCCTTTCCATGTGACCCTTTCAGCAATGTGGAGAGGGGGGATCTGCTGCTTGGGTAACAGCCTATCCTCCATATTACCTTACCAGGGCTTCATGCTCTGGAGAGGACACTCCTCGATTCAGAGCATGTTACCATAGTCTCTCGAGACTGAAGGATGCCTATGCTAATGGTACCTTTCTGCTCTCACGGCCCGAAGGCAGCCATGGAGGGAAATTTGGGTCCAAACTCATCTCTTCCCTGACCCTCTTCCGTTCCTTTCTCTCTCTCCCCCCCCCAACTCCCATCCAGAATGCGGCAAAGAAGAGAGACCCCGAACAAGTGGAAATAGAGGGAGAAAACTCCGCCCCGCCCCGCAAAATCGCCCGGACAGACAGCCAAGATATGAACGAGGACACTTAAAACTTTTTTGTTTTTTTTTGTTTTTGTTTTTTTTGCTTGTCTTTGGTGTTTAAAATTTTCTGGCGCTTCCTGTGTGGGTTCCCCCTCCCCCC